TGCGATGGCCCTCGCGGGTGTTGACGCAATGTGATTTCTGCCCAGTGCTCTGAATGTCAACGTGAAGAAATTCAAGCAAGCGCGGGTAAACGGCGGGAGTAACTATGACTCTCTTAAGGCGAGCCCGGTCGATGTGGCATCGCAGTCCTCACCTCATATTCCCGCTACGGGTGATGAGAGGCTTCGGGAAGTAACGGAGGAGCTTCTTGAGAGGGTTAGGCGTTACCGTTGCTATGAGGCTGGATCTCTGCTGACGATCGCACGAGATTTTCTGGAGAGAAGGATTGACGTCCATGCCATTGAGAGATGGCTGGGCAAGATCTTCCCGGTACAGACGGTGCACTCTCCTCGACGTGCTAAGACTAGAAAGCACAATCCTCCTGTCATAAGAGAGAACAGGAAGCAGATGAGGATGAGAGAATTTGCCATAACGCAGTCTCTATACAAGAAAAACCGCAAAACCTGTCTTTCGCATATATTCGACGGAGACTCCACACGCACGCGTCCGTCCGCTGTCGAACTCCGTGACTACTGGCGTCCCGTTATGGAGGCGTCTATTGTGGCAGATGGTGACATGAAGGCACTGCGGGAAAGGTACGACGAGGCGAGGCTGGCGGCTGGTTCCATCCGGAGCCTTCCGTCGACTGCCAGAAGGATTCATCTCGAAGGCATCGATGAGGGCGCGACTGAGGCTGGCAGCTCACCGGTCGATAAGTCCTTGCTCTGGGATCCGATTTCGACTACCGAAGTCGTGCGGATTTCTGTAAAGAATGGTTCTGCGCCAGGATTGGGCGGCATTGAACCACGGGCTTGGAACGCTGTTCCAGCACCTATCCGTGCGTTGCTGTTCAATCTTCTGCTACTTGCAAGGGAGGCTCCCTCCTCGATCACTACTACCAGGACGGTATTCCTAGAAAAGGGAACGATGCCAGAACGGCCTAAGCCGTCGGACTATCGGCCTCTTACAAGGGATACCCGCATAACCTGAGTCACCGATTTGGCTGAAATTTTACAGGTACGTAGTACTAGTATAATAGTAAGTAATGCTATACGGAGACGATGCACTATTCAGCCGTTTATGAGAAATCGCTGTTTGAAGTTTATCATGTTGTATAAGTACTATGCAATAAAACATATTTCAAACAGCAGCGTGGCGCAGCGGAGTAAGGCGAATATTAGAGATCTAAAGGTGCGGGTTCAATTCCATATATATATTATTTTTTTTTAATTTTCTAATAGTAAAAATGTTCTTAAAATGCATAAAATATAACAAATATATATTATATA